AGGAACATAGCAAGTGGTAAGATGTTTAAATTGCAGGTACATAGCAAGTGGTAAGATGTTTAAATTGCAGGTGCATAGCAGGTGGTAAGATGTTTAAATTGCAGGTACATAGCAAGTGGTAAGATGTTTAAATTGCAGGTGCATAGCAAGTGGAAAGATGTTTAAATTGCAGGTTTATACCAGGTGGAAGATGTTTAAATTGCAGGTTTATACCAGGTGGAAGATGTTTAAATTGCAGGTTTATACCAGGTGGAAGATGTTTAAATTGCAGGTTTATACCAGGTGGAAGATGTTTAAATTGCAGGTTTATACCAGGTGGAAGATGTTTAAATTGCAGGTTTATACCAGGTGGAAGATGTTTAAATTGCAGGTTTATACCAGGTGGAAGATGTTTAAATTGCAGGTTTATACCAGGTGGAAGATGTTTAAATTGCAGGTTTATACCAGGTGGAAGATGTTTAAATTGCAGGTTTATACCAGGTGGAAGATGTTTAAATTGCAGGTTTATACCAGGTGGAAGATGTTTAAATTGCAGGTTTATACCAGGTGGAAGATGTTTAAATTGCAGGTTTATACCAGGTGGAAGATGTTTAAATTGCAGGTTTATACCAGGTGGAAGATGTTTAAATTGCAGGTTTATACCAGGTGGAAGATGTTTAAATTGCAGGTTTATACCAGGTGGAAGATGTTTAAATTGCAGGTTTATACCAGGTGGAAGATGTTTAAATTGCAGGTTTATACCAGGTGGAAGATGTTTAAATTGCAGGTTTATACCAGGTGGAAGATGTTTAAATTGCAGGTTTATACCAGGTGGAAGATGTTTAAATTGCAGGTTTATACCAGGTGGAAGATGTTTAAATTGCAGGTTTATACCAGGTGGAAGATGCGACAACCTGTACCAACTCACCAGCGCGGGGTTCGCATCGGTAAGGTTCCGCTTGTGAGCGATTTCCTTCAGCAAGGATTTGCTGGCCTCTTGAGTCTGAACAAGCAGAAAAAATATAAAAAATTTGCCTCTTCAAACATAGATATTCAGCTTTCAAGATAATTTCTAAGAATGTTTTGGTAGTTGCTAGCGCACTTGAAAAGATAGAATCTATCGGAAATTCTTTCCAGAATTTCGGAATTCGAGTTAATGAGTTAATACTCAGGGGCCATACTTTCAAAACTCGCTAAGTGAACGTAAATACTTACGCTCTATTTTCTTGTCTATGATTGGTGGATTTTGCTTGAAAGGCCGTCAATGATTGGCTGATGAACTTACGATCTCTTAACTTTTTTTTTGGAAGTATAGGCCCTGAGCGATATGACTGCGCTAACTTATTAAAAACATCATAAAACCTTGCTATATAAATTTAAGTTAGTACTCTGCGCGATATGACGGCGCTAACTTATTAAAAACATCATAAAACCTTGCTATATAAATTTAAGTTAGTACTCTGCGCGATATGACGGCGCTAACTTATTAAAAACATCATAAAACCTTGCTATATAAATTTAAGTTAGTACTCTGCGCGATATGACGGCGCTAACTTATTAAAATCATAAAACCTTCCATATAATCTTTAACAGGGCAGAGTCACTTCACTTATTAAAAACATCATGAAACTTAACTATATAATCTTTAACAGGGCAGAGTCACTTCACCTCAGCACATTCCATGCACTTCTTGGCGTACTCTTCAGCCGTGGCGAACTGCTTGAGTGACAGCAGGAACTCAGCGAGGTAGAGGTGTGCCCGACCACGCTCCTCTGCTTCGTCCGACTCCTCGCCCTCCGTCTCTCTCAGGTAGCGCTCGTATGCGTCCGCTGCACGCTCTGTCTCCGCCAGGCGCTGGTACAGTCTGCATGACCAAGCTCATTAAAAGCAATATATGAGAAGATAGAATAAAGATAAGGTGTACAAATATACGAACAGGCGCTGGTATAGTCTGCATGACCAAGCTCATTAAAACCAATACAAAGGAAGATAGAACACGATAAGGTGTACAAATATACGAACAGGCGCTGGTATAGTCTGCATGACCAAGCTCATTAGAAACAATACAAAAGAAAATAAAACNGAACATGCGCTGGTACAGTCTGCATGACCAAGCTCATTAAAAACAATATAAGAGAACATAGAACAACGATAAGGTGTACAAATATACGAACAGACGCTGGTACAGTCTGCATGCTCAAGCTCATTAAAAACAATATAAGGGAACATAGAATAAAGATAAGGTGTACAAATATACGAAACATGCAAGTGTGAAAATATAGAAAACGTGAAACTGGATATGCTCTAGGAAAAGAACGGAGGACTAGAAGTTTCTAGGCGCATAAAAGTTTCTTAGCGCAGTAGACATCTAACTACCTTGCTGCGGAAGTCAGAAACTTTTTCATTCCAAACCAACAGCGGGTTTCGAGCATAGTAACAACATTTCTACCGTAATTGAAAATTGTGCAAAACATTTTCGGAGGAGAGGACATAATTTTGTCTCCGACCGAAACAAGGCGATGAAATTGTTTGGATGAAATAATAATACGCATCAAAACAGTAGAATTTCGGATACGGTGGTCAAGCCGAGAAAATAGATTGTCTAGAAAATTCTTCAGAAAAATAATTCTTTAGAAGTATCTCTTTCGAGAAGTTATCACCACTAGCACGTCATGAGGTGATCAGGATTCGAAATTTTTATGGTTAAAAAAGAAAAAAAAATCAAGAGAAAGAATCAAACAAATTGCCGAGTAAAAAAATCTTAAGAGTTATCAAGAATTTTTTCCAGGAGAAATACTGGAAATAAAAAATGCGAATAATTATCATCCCGAAGAATGACAAGTTCAGTATTTCAAATATAAGGTTAAATATTCCATTAACTAATGCCTCAATAAATTTCAATCAAAGCATTCTACTACATTAGCTATATATAGCAGTTTTGGCTGCACGCGAGTCATATTATAGGAATAGTGGTTCATTTATTCAAGACCTATCCAGCCGGGTGACTCGATTAAAACGAAAATTCAGGTTTATTATACAGGGAAATTATAGTTTCAGCTTTTCCAATCGAATATGGCATGTGTATCGATTCGTAAATTACTCCTCCCCAAATCAACGTAGCTCATTAAGATTGGTCTCTTGATGAGATTAACCCCATCGGCCCCCCATTGATGAGATTAACCCCTGTCCATTCAAAAATTGGCAAAATCGAAAATTCAAATGTTCCCCAAACGACACCCGCCATCACGGTAACTGAGATGTGGGTGACACACACTAATCCGCTCACTCGATAAGTATTTAGGATCAAGGACGTACACTACTCCTCACTTGGCTAGTTTAAGGAGTGCCGTGCCCTCAGTATTTAGGATCACCGACGTACACTACTCCTCACTTGGCTAGTTCAAGGAGTGCCGTGCCCTCAGTATTTAGGATCACCGACGTACACTACTCCTCACTTGGCTAGTTTAAGGAGTGCGGTGCCCTCAACATCGCCGACGGAGTGTGCCTTAACGTAGCATTTTTTAGCCTCCAGGAACATCTCCTTTTTCTCGAAAGCTTCGCCCAGCGCCGTGATCATACGGCTGTCGTATGGGTGCAGCCGCTGCGCCTGTATAACAGCAATTTAAAAGATAAACTTAAGCAAAGATGCCGTACCAACGTAGCAAACTGAGGACATCGTCACGAGACATCTTGACAGCGTTTCCTACCAGTACGTAAACTGTAGCCACTGCAATTCTTATATATAGGCCAGGTACCTAAAGTTTGTCGATAGATAAAGGGTTGACGAGGCAAACATTGTGCTACGCGATGCACCTTTACGACATAATAAAACTTGGGGTTCTTACACTAAACAAGAGATATTAATTTTAATAGGAGACCTTAATTAATGATTAGGAATACAAATCCTGAATACACTTTGGACCTAAATGACAATCGCACAGGGAAGTTAACAAACAAATAGAGTAGTATAAATTATGACCGGCTTTAAGTAGAAAAGAGAGTAGAAATGGTTTGAAGTTGAAAAGAGAGTGGAAATGGTTTGAAGTAGAAAATAGAGTAGTACCTGCTTGAAGTAGAAGAGGGAGTAGTTGAGCAGACGTAGCACCTCGTACGTCTGCCCCAAACCGAACCAGGCAGAATAGTCGCGTCTGTTGACCTCTGTCGCCGGCAAGGCATAACACATTTACTCCATGTCTAATTGTCTATACAGTTCAAATGCTAATATATGTCCATTAATCAATTAAATCCATTAAATGTCCATTAAATTGGCTCAAAAAATGGATGAAAGTGATTGCAATTGAGGTCTCACTCGAGTAAACATTTCCTAGAGAGTTTAGGTTATTCTTTATCTTACTATGTAATCAAAATGAAACAACATTTTTTCAATACTTCCTATTTAACGCACGAGCCTTGTCATGGACTATACAAAATATTGCTAGTATGGCCAACAAGGCAGTCAATTTGGCACACAATGAAGAAGCATTGACACAAAATAATCATAATTAGTCATTTAACGACACAAATCCGCTGTAAATTACACAACCTAAGATAATTGAATTCTCAGATGCCAAATTACAAAGAAAAATGCCTAGAACTGATTGTTTAGATTTCATTAAATTGTGATATGTGAAATCATCCTCACCCTGAGCACATGTAAGCCTTCGTATATAAAATGTAACTCACTACTTCAGCCTAACTGATTAGCGGCATCGTGCATTCACTACGCCAGCACTAGTGCTCACTGAGGGCATTCCTGTAGCACTGGATGGCCTGAATGGTGCTCTTCATCTCCATGTACTCGTATCCCATGAGCGTATAAGCGCTCACGAACTTAGGGTTGAGTTTGAGCGCGCGCTGGAAGTGCACCACGGCCTTCTCGTGCTCGCCTCGCAGGCTCAGGTAGTTGCCTGCCGAGGGGAGGTGGGTTAGAACATGCGTATCAGGGATACTGGAGGGTACTGTGAATGTATGAGTATCATGGATACCAGCTGAGGGTACTGTGAGTGCATGAGTATCAGGGATACCAGCTGAGGGTACTGTGAGTGCATGAGTATCATGAATACTAGCAGGGAAACAGGAAGGAGAGGCTTGTCAGGCTAGGCACGATGTAGTTTTGGTTTAGGAGAATAGGTTCGTGTTTTGTTGGGGAGGATAGAGCATATTTCGTTGGATAGAGCGTATTTCTTTGGGGAAGATAGAGCGTATTAGATTCTCAAGAACATGTTGGCGAGTAGAAAGCCGAGTGTATTGGGCAAGAAACAGCGAGTTGAGACGACGAGGTCGGTGCATGTTAAAGCAATAAATATCGACATCGCACTGACAACCTACCAACAACGCAGCAGGTCTCCACGGAATATTTGGCGACCTGTACCATCTTGGCAGCTAGGTTGGCGAGTTGCGTGCGGCGCTCCTTGACGTACAGCAGGTTACTGAACACGTCCACGCTTGCCACGCGGAACGGGTCGCTCCGCTCGATACTTTCGAACTCAGCGATGGCCAAATCAAGCTCTGCCCAGCCATCAACAATCAATTCTGGTAATAATGCAATCAAATAAATGCTATTTTCACGACATTCAATGCAATAAATGACAATAAAACAGAATGAATGGCTACCTACCTGATGAGTTTGATTCATTTGCAATGTATAAATTAGAATGAACGCCAATAGGATGTTAAACAGATAAAAAGATGAAAATGAAACCAATAGGAAATTCTCATTTCATGGAATTTGTTCTGCAACAGGCTTGACATACGGTATATACAACGTACAAAAAAAATCTGTGGCAGACGACATCCATTGAAATTATTCTAAGGAATAAATAAACCTCCTATAGAACTCAATAATTGTTTTGATCTCTCTAAATTAAAACTCATTTGAAAATTTGTAGAAATATGTTCAGATTGGTGAAGGTTGAGCTTTAGATTGGTGAAGGTTGAACGCATGAGCTACTAAGCAAGGCAAGTAACCTCTGAGGTTCCTGAAGGCAAGGGCGCGCTGTGTCTTAAGGAAGGCTGACCCCTCCAGCCCCTCGGCCATGAGCTGGTCGCACTCGGCCAGCGCGTCCGCGTCCAAATTGAGCTCGACGAACACCTCGCATAGGAACAGCCGCCGCTGCCACACATCTGGCAGGTCAAGCTGCTCCAGCTGAGAGACAAACGTTATACGTTAGTTAATATTAATAAAAACATAAGACGTAATGAATGAGATAAGTGTACTACATTAGGTACATATGCCGCCGCCACACCTCTGGCAGGTCAAGCTGCTCCAGCTGTCAGACAAATGTAATATATTAGCTTATCTTTGTGAGAACCTTTGTTATAATTAATTGAACGAACAGGAATAGCTGCCAATACCACACGAGTGCTATTTCTGTTGATTCATACAACTAAGAAATGTTTAATGTAAGCTTCTCTTGATGACCACACGTGTCTAAATTGTTAAAAAAAGATCTCAATTAAGAAAAACAAAGACAAGATCATGACGGATTATGTAATGAATGCGTTACAATTGAAGTAAATATGGGTCTTATAATCCGCTTTTTTTGTCAAATTCTATTCAACTCATTCATATTCATCAACATCAACTATTCATCAACTCGCAGTGCTGCGTTTGTCAATGAGATGAACGTGCAATTCGCTCACGGTACGCTGAGATGAGCAACCAATTAAGCATATGATGTTAAATAAAACCGTTGTTACAACAAAATCAACATAATTTCATTATTAATTGACAATTCAACATCAAATGACTGTAAGTAAGCTCATCAATCTACTGACAGTGCTGCGCTTGTCGATGAGGTGGGCGAGCTGTGCCCAGGCGGCCCAGTTGATGGGGCTGAGATGTATGGCCCAACAGAGCACCTCTAGGGCCTGCTTCCTGTGCCCGAGCTGCTGCAGCACCACGCCGTACAGGTACATTAGGTAGCTGTCATACCCGCTGTAACACAAAAATTACACATTAGGTAGCTGTCATAACCACTGCAACACAAAAAATTACACATTAGGTAGATGGTAACTGCTGCAACACAAAAAATTAAACAGTAATTACATATAAAGATATCCAGATAAGTATAACTGAAGCGCGAAAATCCACAGTAAATTAAGAGACATCCATTGTAATTGTTAGTGATATTAGACAATCTTCTGGAAGATGCTTCTTAAATGGTCGCTCACTGGACAGATTGAACTGCACTGCGTAGGGCTTGCTATGACTGATGCAGTGGTGCTTGTCCAAATGATGTCTATGTTAAGGGAATCTTTGGTATTTTGTCTAAGGCAGCAGCTTCAAGTACTACCAATATTTCTAATATTTCAAATTTTTACAATAAAGGAAGTGTTGCAAGAGAAGTTATGATCTAAAAGCTTCAAATGTTTTCTGTGTGGCACTCCATCTGAAGGAACAATTAATTGAACTGCAAAATAAAAAATAAATATTGCATGCTACTTATAATGCTGTAAGTACTAAATAATATCTTCTATTACAATGAACCAGACATCATTTTTTGTAATTCTACTGGTGATATTCTTTAAAAAAAATCAAACCTACAGCCCACATTATAAAAAACAAATATCGAAAATGCTGACAATTTTATGATAAATTGAGAGTTAGATTTTTATCAATTTCTTTTGGTATGAAAATGTCCTCTCATCAGCAGATTTCAGGCCAAAAAGTGGCCTTAATTTTTGCAAGGGCATCGGCAGCATTCTCAAACAACAATAAACAAATCATGAACAATGATTAGACAGATGTGACATCAGCTAAAGCAAATTTAAAAACTTATCAAGTCCAAGTAAGTCTATCAACTCACCAGATGATGTCATCTTCTTTCAACTCATCACTCTTCACACCAGTGCCGTTGCTGCTGCTATCAAGTTGCAATTTCAAGCTGCTTTCATTTTCATCATCAACTTCAATATCATCAACATCATCTCCAAGATGAGCAATTTCATTGTCACCAAGATCATGATCAATGGTGAACTTATCTTCATTGATATGATCATTGAGATGACTGCTAAGTTTTCGCTTGGCCCGAAGCTTGCTTGTGCTAGGCACACTTTTTACATTGATGTGCTTAGTGTGCTTGGTTTTATATTCGTAATCACCCAAGCCAATCACGCCTTTGGTTTTATAAGGGAAATTTTCTTTCTTGGATACCCGGTGGTAGGCAGGACCGAGTCGGTGGGCGATTTCAAATAAATGTGGACCAGGAACATTCTTGGGGAGAAGAGCTGCACAAATAGAAACAATGTAATTACCATTTGTGCTGTAATATATAAATTTATTTATCTTTCATTTCTTTAATAAATAAATAAATTTAATTATTAAATCATAGACAAAAAATGTTGACAAAATTAAAATCTCCACAATAAATGAGTTTAATTCAGGTTTTTAGGCATGGGAGGTTTCAAAGAAGATAGTTACTAGGGCCAATAAACTACATGTTATATCATAGTAAGTAAAATAGTTCAGGATTTATATATTTATAAACATAACAACTTTCACAACCAACCTCAAAGTACATTTCAACAAGATGATTTTAGTGAAAATTATACATTGTTAGCAATCACATTAACTTAGAATAGAAATGTAGCTTTTCAGACTTTGTATCAGCTAGTGGTGAGCAGATTGTATAGACACAAAAAACGCTCTAGTAAAGGCTTTATTAAGCTTGCTCAAAATTGAATGGAAGTAATAACTAAAATATTATTGTAAATAGTAGGATATTACAAAACTATTGGTCACATGTAATATATTACCCATAAAATTATCAAAATATTGATAATATTGCTTGTACACTAGGTACATCATGGGACATGGAATTTTTGAAATTCAATTCAATTTGTAAAAATTGTGACAAGACATTTGTTAAAAGCAGTTGGTGGAATGAAGAATTATCAAATTAACCTAAAATTAGAAATTGAACATAACATAGCCTGATTGGCATAGCCTCAAAGGTTGGCATGCTGACAAACTGCTATTTAATATATGTCATATTTATTGAGTACTATGAAATTCACAAATTTAACCAATTTCTTGCATGCATGTGATACACTTTTCATATGGTCAAAATTAAACCTTGCATCAGCTATAATATCTTCTTAGTCAGTTAACAATTTATTTATTGGCTTATCTCAAAAAATATATATAATAAATTTTAAAATGGAGAGTGAATTCCAGTTGCCCAATAGTTGTAATTCTGGAAAATATTGAAATTAGCAATATGCAGTGACTAATTATCTGATCTTTTGTATCAATTAATAACAGCTAGCCTTTAATAATTAATTAAATAATAACAGCTTAATAATAATTAAATAATAACAGCTTAAATTAATAACAGCTAGCCTTTCCGACCAGTAAATACCATGTGGGCGTAGGAACCGATGTTAGAAACCATCAGCTGTTCTGCCATGTATGACAAGTTGTTAGCAAGAAAAGCAGATAAATCCTTGAATCAATTCCCAATATTGGTGAACATGGAAATGACAAAAAGCAAGTAGGGACTAGTTTACTATGCTTAATTATATATAAAGTTAGAAGTTAAGTGATGAGTATTAAAATAATATTGCCAAACAGGGATACTCAAGATAAGAAAGAAAGTTTCGAAGCATTCCTGAACTTGCCTTGCATGTTATTTGATTTTTTGTTAATAAACATACACAATGTTTATGAAAAAAAAAAACAATTTAAAAATTGGATACTGTAACATATTGACACCAATTTCAACTATTTGAAGGCCCTGTTTGAAGGCACATATTTAAGTGCTTGTGAATTGACAACCAACTCCAAAAAACTATTCAAAACATGGATGAGAAAATACATCAGACTTTTAATATTCTTATAACCTCACTTACTCAACACTCTCAGTGAGAATCTGAATTATTCAGGCAGCTTGCCAAATGTATTACTAACATGAGAGTAAATAAAAAAGAATGTATAAAGATTCCAGGATGTAAAGTAATTTCCATTGGTTTTACTGTTTTTCTGCTATCTTTTGAGGAAATATAAAAATTGTCTAATCAATATATAAGTTGATTCTTGTTGCATGGTGGTGCGTTATTGTTTTTATGGAGAGCAAACAAAATGAAGATATTTATGAATTTAACTTTGACAGAGCTCTGTTAGAGTAGCACTTACTGATGGAGTCCATGCGGTCATTATTAATCTTTTGTTCATAGGCACAGTAGCGGGAATAAAGATGTAGGAACAGCCCCAGCGGATGCTTCAGGTGTTCTGAGTAATAAGCCGCTCTGCAAAGCAAATGATCAATGAGCATCTACACAATTAAATGCAAACTCCATGTTGCAACCTTGATAAAAATGTAATTATAGACAAATTTAGGGCATAATTAAAATAGGTTTACAACCTAAACATCTTACAGCATTATCTTGGTGGCCATCAAATCGGGATTGTATCTTATATGGCCAGTCAAAAATTAAAGCTAAAATTTTCCATTGGCTAATCACATATATAAAATCCCTCCATTAAGATCTTGCACAAAGAGATAAGTTATGAGCTGCAAAACTTGGTAAAAACCTGCAAAATCTTTCATCAGCTTTGCTGCCTCTTCTTTTTTATACCAAAGCCACAAAAAGAAGTGACTCATTATTTCCCAACAATACAAGAAAAAAAACATCCAAAACAACAACACTGCAATCTATGAATTTGAAACAATTCTATTAAATACCAGGGGAAAAAAAAGGTGTATGCAAAATAAATAATAAGTGCAATAAAAAACAACAAAATATCCCTAAAAGAGGGCATAATTACAGCCTCAACATAACTTGAAATACCTACAATATTGTGAACTTAGTCTACAGTATGGATATTCACTTTAACAGCAGCCAGCACATCAAAATGTAGTTTGAATGCCAAGTCAGACCTGAAGTAATCTTTCAGGTTGAAGAGGCCCTTAGCTTGATCGAAATCATCAGCTTCGCTGCCAAGTTGCTGCCGTAAGGGTGGAAGTGTAGGCTCCTCAAGTAGAGTGACATCTTTGACGCAGAGAGCTAAATCTGCACACCTGAAAAAGAAATAAAAGTATTAATATTTACACTTGCATTAAGTGGTCTGTATTCAATGTAGTTACTTGTAAATTCTGAAGTTGTACAGATAGCAATGTTTACACATTGTAGCAGGCCTGGGAAGTGTAGCAGGCCAAACAAAATCATAAATTGAATTTAAAATTTGGGTTCATGGACTTTAAAATTTGGTAGCAAAGCAAAAATAAAAGTAAATGCTTTTTTCTACATTCAACAATCATGAATTTTAATGCTGATTAACCTTTTCACGGGTAAGTTACCATATATGATCACTTGAAATCGCGTCACAAAAAGCATCAGAACGGCTTCCTGTTTGTTTTTGAGGCATCCTTATAATGCCTCAGTCAATCACTAATTATCTGACCATCGTTCTATCTATATCATCACCAGCTGCAAAGTCCACAAATTGAAATATGAGCATTTAAATGGAGGTTTTGACTCAGACAATGGAATTGACGCTCTTTCCGCATTCTCTTCAAAATGTGGAAGTATTGATATATATATATTTATTTATTTTGGCAAATTGATTAAATTTAGTTAAATTAAATTTTCATGTTTTTAATTTTTCATTTGCATAAGCTGAATTTTAATTATAAAGAAAAATTTTGTGTACGGTACTGATCGCATTTATTGAATTCTTCAAGTGCGATTTAAACCTTCAATAGGCAAAATTTGCAAAAATTCATATAAATAAATATATTGTATAATACTTCTTACTTTCTTGAAATGGTTTCTGAAATTTTAATTTCTAGATATTTCAATGCTTGCCCGCTAAAGGGTTAAGTTGTGTCTACCCACAGATTGGTTGGCTCATGGAAGCTCATACAGAAGAATGAGATCTGACTGCACATGTGTGAGTGTGATGCAAGATTCATCAATAACTAATAATAAAGTTTTTTTCTTCAGAAAATTTTTTCAAATCAGAAAATATTAGAAAATTCTGCTTGACCATCCAGATCTAATCTGGTCCAACCAAACAAACCATCTCTATCTGGAAAACTGGTCAGAACTTTCCTAAAATTATGTGCAAAAACAATCATTTCATGGCAATTTTTGAAAATTGCAGATAAAAATAGGTCATTTACCTTCTTCTATATTAAAAAATTAGGAGAGGAGCATAAGAATTGATGAAATTGGTTAAACTCAGGAGTGTTCTTGCTCAGTTCATGTGTGGCTTCTGATGCTTCTGCCTAATTTTCCAGTTAGGCAACAAGCCAAGTCTAAAAAAAACAATCATTTTATAGGTATTTGAAAATAATAAGCAAAAATTAATCACTTTTCTTATTCTATTTTAAAGAAATTAGGCTGCTAGGCACATGCCTTGAAAATTGGCTTACCTAATTGCCTAGAAGCATAGGCAATTTGTATATTTGTCGCATAACTCTTATTCAGTGGCTTCTGCCCAATTTTTAAGAATAGATCAAACATTTTCTAGATAATGATTAAATTTTAAACTAAAATTACAGTACCTACAATCAGTTATATACAAAGTTTGAATAAATAAAATAATACATGAAATAACTTCTAACCTTATTTGCCACCCTGCTAACAGTAGACAAGGAAATCAAAAAGGATTCAACTCTTATTTGAAATATTAGGCAGAATATTTGTGAAATTTCAGGATACAAATTTTTGTCACATGTAATTTTCAAAAATGGCAGACAGAAATGTATCATTTTTCTTAATTTTTACTCAAGAAGTTAGTCAAATGACATAAAATGTGAAATTTACAGCAGCAAATAGGTATGATAAAGTACATAAATATTAGTCTCATTTACTGATTTACAGGTGGCTTATTACTCATTTTAAGTCATTTAGGCCTAATTCTCTAGTTTGGAATCAATTGGCTGACTCAGGCTCAGGCGCTTGGCCTACTGCAGTACCTACTACAGTGACAGTACAACTTACAAGTCTGTCTGACAATGGCACTCTCTGGGCCAGTGGCAAGTAAAATTGTCTAAAAAGTTTCTTAGCCTACTTACCAGTTACCAAGTTACCACCCTGCATTTCATTCATACTTTCATAGTTATATATATTACTATGTTGTAACCTTTATAATATATATATTTTATGTATTTTAATGGCATAGGCCTATATATACTAGGATTTAGTCTAGGAGTAGGTTGACAGCGTTGACTAATGACTAGAGAGAGACTCAGATAGCATAATTGCTTAACTAATGTTCTCACCAACTATAAGCGTTTAGTAATCCTCGATGGTTTGCTTCTTCTTTAGCTTTAATTAAATCAATCTTTACTCGACGAGTGAAATCACTTTCAATTGTCTCACTCTTCTTTTGTTTCAGGGATAAAGTTGTGCCAAAAATAATGGCAGTCATATCATGCAGTCCATCATAACCTCCCGCCATGGCAATTCAATGACAACAAGCGGTCACGTTTCCAAGTAATAAGTTTTTCTATTATACTTCAAAATATTTTACTATTCAATTGCCTATTGGTGGAACTGCTCTGACAATTTTGAAATCACGTTCAAGCCGAATTATTGGGTTTGTATGCCATGGACCTCAAGACTAGGACCCAATTTCATCGGCAATTATAAATGAATCTGTGGTTAGATCACGCAACATAACATTAGCGATGTCGGCGCTGATGAGTAGGCCTGATGTGGTCTGGCTTCGATTATTGTACTTTTAGTTACTTATTCAAAAGAGATCTAAAAGCATGTCCCTTGACCGGATCTTATCAAGACTGACGATAGTTTGAAATAGCTACCAGACTTCCACCGTGTTCGATATGGTTCTAGGCATTTAAAATCTTAGCATATATTTTCCCATAGCTTCATCTAGTCTGCTCTCAAACGCGTTTATACGCTGAGCGTCAACGATGTAATCGGGAAGGCTGTATCACATGTCGGTGATTCGGAGCGAGAAGGAATATTGTCGCGTGAACGAGTTGGAACGCAGTTTTTTCAAGTTTATAGTCGTGGCCCATGGAGTTGCTACTTGTTTCAAATTCTAGTAGTCCTTCGGGTACCTTGTATAATCACAGGCAATTTAACTAAAGAAGAAGTTCGCGATTAATTTCGCGCTGTCGCCTATGAAACGTGAAACGGAGGCTGTGCTCAAGTTCTGTAGTGTTCGCCAATTACTTACGCATGTGTATATCATTAAAGCCATATCAAAACATTCAGCCTCATTTTCCTTTGTTCGCATGGCAAATCATCAAATGACGGGGAATCAGAATAATTTTCGTTTTTGCCTTCTTAGCTTCGTTTTATTTAACGTTTTATATTTTAAGTCAGTTCAACATTTATTGTCATTATGTTCCATTTCAATTAAGTTGAAATTTAATTTGTAAACACTATTGTTTTCACCACGAGGTTCGAAGCATCGTTACGTTCTATTTTTAGTGCATGCAAATTTTTGAGCGATTTTTACAGTGAAAGCTTAGTTCGAGTCACGATGAGCTTGAAATGCTATATGTTGACATACCATGTATGTCACTAGTAAATATCAGGCTAACGTTATGTGAGAGGAAAATTGTAATGTTGCAGAAATTAGTATAGAAAAGACAGTTTTGAAAGTATGAAATATGAGGTGATACATCCCTGAACTTCAAGTATTAAGCTCCTTAGTAGGGCGAGGGCGCTACGGGCTACTGCTTCATGATAAAGAATCTATGTGGTTCCCTCGAGAGGAATTAAATCGTATCTAATTGCCAATAAACTGCATGTCAAGCAACAAGATTTTTGTCAAAACAAACAAATTTGTCAAAATATGTTACATTTTTACAGAAAAACGGAGAATCCATGAGGACAAAAGACAACTTTATTTAGCAATCAGCGAAGCGAAAGCTTGGAACCGGTGATTTTCAGGTCAATAAAACTAAAAAAAGGAAAAATTTCAAATTAAGTAAATTCAAATAATTTACTAAAAGATTTTGTACTTAAAATTGGTTCAACACACAAATAAAACAATAAAGCATGGGAACAGCTCAAGTAACTTACATAAAGACTGGCCATTGAAGTGAACATAAGGAATGTTAATTGAATTATTGGACCGGATGACCAATTTATCATTAAATTGCTCCGTTGTTCAGAATGTAAGTAATAATTATACGATTGCAGAAGTACTATAATTGTACAATAGATTTATAATATAATTCTTATTTTCTTAACTACAGTTATATTTTACTGTTAATCTACAGATAATTGTTATATGCCTCAGAAGCCGTCCCAGACAGTGAGCTGTCCATCAGCGAAGTGCAGCGGGACGGTCGGCAACGGACAGACGGGCGGGGCGGACGGTGCCACAGGGACGCCTGAGGCGGCCGCGTCGTACCCCTAAAAGAAGTTACAAGTTAAGTTAAGTTAACCACAGCCAAACGTGTTATTTCACACAGACCACCAACACAATTCATCACACTCGTCACTGTGGGAGTTACACGTTAACCACAGCCAAACGTGTAATTTTACACTAGACCACCAACACAATTCACCACACTTGCCACTCACCACACACTCACCATTCACCACTCACCTCACACTAGACAATTCACCACACACTAGACCATTCACCACACTCACCTCACACTAGACCATTCACCACACTCACCACACTAGACAATTCACCACACTCACCACTCACCTTGTATGAGGTGATGAACTCATCTAGCCTGGCCACGAGATGGCGCTGCTCCTCCACGAACTGGGACACACTGGAGGAATATTACAGGCATTAATGAGGGATTAATGACGGTATTATTGGCGAGGTTTAGTTATCAGGTATACTGTATGTCCACGAACCCTTTAGGTTTAGTCAAACATTGTACTGATGCTTCAGACCCAGCTAACGGGAAAGCCGATGTCAGGATTGCAAATTTCGTGGCTCAAGTCAAGATTTTGCTGATTAAAGAACAACATTCAGACCAAGATTGGTTAGTAATTGGCCAGCTGAATATTTCAAGGGTCACCCCACCGCCCAAAAAAGGCACACGTCCCCTCCGTCCCCACCTGTGCGGGTGCATGAGGCGCAGTCTTGATATCTTGCGCGCGACGTCAGCGCAGATCTGCTCGTTGAACAGCGGCAGCCCGAGGTGGCAGCACTGCAGCTGCCACGTCTGCCCTGCCACTGCCACCGGCCTGAGGGAATGTGTAGTAGTAAGATGGTAAGGTAGTAAGGTAAGGAATGGGTAGTAGTAAGATGGTAAGGTAGTAAGGTAAGGAATGGATAGTAAGGTAAGTTAAGGAATGTGTAAGTAAGGGGGGAAATGTGTAGTAAGGTTATATATAGCAGAGGAACAGGGATTGCGACCGGGTTTACTAGAAAAGGGGTTGCAAGAGATGAAAGTAAGCGAGGGATGCAAAACAAAACATCCGATTGTGAGGGGAGGAGTGCGGAGCTGAACTGGTGGTTGGGAGGGGGGGAGGGGAAAGGCCAAAGCTCCTACTTTGGAGAGAGGAGTGAAGTTAATTAGATAGAGAGGGAGGGGCGGGACTGACCTTGTAGGGGGGGAGCGGGGGAAGGCCACCAGCTGCAGGTATCCGAAGCAGTGGTGCAGCTGCAGCTGCTGCACCGCGCGCTGCACCACCGCACAGCTGCTCCACTCGTCTGCACGTACGTACACTCATTGTACACCGGTGCTCAATTACATACAACATTACATAATATTTACGTCTCGACCAATGCTGGTGAAATTTATACATTTATATATGATATACATGACATACAAATGGTGTAATTTTCTGCCTGCTAATGATTGCCCCGAAAAATGACCAAATTAATGACAACGTTATTTATCATCACGAAATATTTTCCACATCACCAAGATTATTAATTGGTGCAAATTAATTTCACAGAGGTAACTTAATGGTGTAATGAAAATCTAATGAAGAAAAATAAACAACAACTAGCAAAAGAAAAGAAATTAGGTGATATAATTTGTAACAGCCCACCAGATTCTTCGAGGGGGAGGCAGACGTGCTGGATGAGGGGCTCTTCATCCCACCCGTACCCCTGGGGGAAGGAGAACCGGGGTATAATCAAAACAAGCTGCAACACTGGCATTTACTCGAAAACCCATTCATTATTCCAAATCATAGCCCCCAAAAGAAATCTTAATAATATGGAATTTCAGTTGAAATTGGTAACTTCCGTGGAAAAGCATCGCTGGTCCGTCGTCAATTCGTTAAGCAAATGACACCATCGACCGTCGTGCCTCTGGCAGCGCCGCACCTGGTCATCGTGCCTCTGGCACCACCGCTACTGGTCATCGTGCCTCTGGCACCACCGTCCCTGGTCATCGTGCCTCTGGCACCACCGTCCTTGGTCATCGTGCCTCTGGCACCACCGCACCTGGTCATCGTGCTTCTGGCACCACCGTCCCTGGTCATCGTGCCTCTGGCACCACCGTCCCTGGTCATCGTGCCTCTGGCACCACCGNGCGAGGGCCTCACCTGCAGCAGCAGCGGGTGGTGGGTAAGGGCTTCGTTAGCAGCATGGAGGAGCTGGTGGAGCGGCAGCACGACGGGTTCCTGCCCCCAGCCTGTCAGCAGCAGACGGCGGTGGCGGAGGAGGCTGGCCGGCACCCGCCGCAGACGGAAGCCTGCGCATCAAAAGAAAATTATTATTAATAAATTATAACAGTAAAAGGAACCCCTAGATACATTATAAAATAAAACAATAAAAGACAAAAGAGAGTTAGTAAAAGAGAGGTCAGCAAGCGGGCTATCGGATAATAATGTTCCATTTTGAGTTCTTCGCGTCGTGGGGGTCTTACTATATATATTTATTATATTGAAGCCACGATATATTATAGTGAGCTATGTGGTGGCCTCTAGACGCAGCTCTAGGCAGACACTAGACGCAGCTCTAGGCTGACACTAGACGCACCTCTAGGCAGACACTAGACGCACCTCGAGGCAGACACTAGACGCAGCTCTAGGTAGACAATAGACGCAGCTCTAGGCAGACTTTAGACGCAGCTCTAGGCAGACACTAGACGCACCTCGAGGCAGACACTAGACGCACCTCGAGGCAGACACTAGACGCAGCTCTAGGCAGACACTAGACGCAGCTCTAGGCAGACACTAGACGCACCTCTAGGTAGACAATAGACGCAGCTCTAGGCAGACACTAGACGCAGCTCTAGGCAGACACTAGACGCACCTCGAGGCAGACACTAGACGCACCTCGAGGCAGACACTAGACGCAGCTCTAGGTAAAGACGCAGCTCTAGGCAGACACTAGAAGCACCTCTAGGCAGACACTTGATGCAGCTCTAGGCAGACACTGGACACACCTCTAGGCAGACACTAGCCGCACCTCTAGGCAAACACTATACACACCTCTAGGCCGCCACTAGACGCACCTCTAGGCAGCAGCAGACTAGGAGGTCCACTAGACACACCTCTAGGCAGCAGCAGACTAGGCCGCCACTAGACGCACCTCTAGGCAGTAGCAGACTAGGAGGTCCACTAGACGCACCTCTAGGCAGCAGCAGACTAGGAGGTCCACTGGACACACCTCTAGGCAGCCACTAGACGCACCTCTAGGCAGCCACTAGACGCACCTCTAGGCAGCAGCAGACTAGGAGGGCCACTAGACGCACCTCTAGGCAGACACTAGACGCACCTCTAGGCAGCAGCAGACTAGGAGGTACACTAGACGCACCTCTAGGCAGACACTAGACGCACCTCTAGGCAGACACTAGACGCACCTCTAGGCAGCAGCAGACTAGGAGGTCCACTAGACGCACCTTTAGTCAGCATCAGACTAGGGGGTACACTAGACGCACCTCTAGGCAGACACTAGACGCACCTCTAGGCAGACACTAGACGCACCTCTAGGCAGCAGCAGACTAGGAGG